CTGTTTTAGATAGAATCTGTGGCTTGTGTACTACAGCAACAGGCTGTAAAGAAGAAGGAGCACAAAACCACAGATCTGCAGAACATCTCGTTATGGTGCTCAGTGGAACCAAGTGGATACTTCAAACTTTTTTAACAGCGTCCTATAGGCCAGGTCCAACAGCAGCAACAATCCCAAAGGTATTTTCTGCCTGGTATAGGTTACACAGCAAAAGAGTGCTGTGTAACCTATATTTAGATTAGTTTTCATGTTACCTAATAAGCTATAGTTTAGGATCTATCTGCACTCTCGCATAAAAGGATAAAGTCCACAATCTTTTTTAAGTGAATGTCAGCACAAGAGAAAATGGCAGCAGTCCTCTCAACAACCCTGCAATTAGTTCAAATGTGTTCAATTACTCTGTGTGTAATGAGTTTTACTTTTTTCCAAAGCCACCTCTGCTTTCTTGTCTACAGTGGAAAAACCAATAATGTTCATCTGTTTCCTACCCCAGCAATCTATGCAGTGCTCCACTTTGTCCTGTGGCTCAAAAACGGAACAGTTTGGATGGTGAATACATGTACATACATTGTCTGTCAGTTTAGATTCAGTACAAATAGCCTGAAAAGTAAAAAAATAAAAAAATAAAAAAATAAATCCTTGAAACAGATGCAGATGAAGAGCTCAGAAACGAGCGAAGAGCAAATGAATATCTGGGACAGAGGGAGGTGATTCATGGTGCACTGACCCTTAAATGTCATGCTGTGAGTTGCTTAAAACCATTTCATAACCAAATATATATATACATACATATATATATATACACACACACACACACACACACACACACACACACACATATATATACACACACACACACACACACATATATATATATAGTAGATGGTAGACAAGGCAGTCTTAAGGCAAACACTTATTTTTCCTTCTAAGTTGATAGTTATGTTTGGATGTTTGTTTTCTGGTTATTGATCAGTAACAGCCACTGGACATTTTCTCCCTGTGGGAAAAAATGACTACTATGTACATAAATATGAAACACACTCCTCACTCACACCTTGCCAGAGGTGGAATGGGGCACTGTCTTACAGAAGTTTCACACCTTGGCCCAGGCGATAGTAACCACCTGCACTTTTTGTCACAACTTGGCTAATGTGAAGACTCAAATGATTAATAGTAGGTCAATGACTTTCAGGATCGCCTGCAAGGGGGCAGTTGCCACTTGAGGATAAATGCCTACTTAAGACTCTCCATCAGTTGTTTTACAACTGACAAAGACTCTTGAATGGAGACTAGAAATGTTTTCATGAACGTAAAGAAGTCCAGTTGCCTTCTTTTCAAGCACATGAGACAACAAAGAACCCCACACCTGGACAGTATGGGCCCCTGAAATGCCCTCTGACTGTCTAATTGAAGTAAAATAAAGAGCAACAAAATCTGAACACAAGAGGTCTGAACACCTTGGAGATCCACATTATATTTCTAAAAGTATTCATTCATCTGCCTTCACACTTATATGAACTCGACTGACATCCCATTATTAATCAATAGGATTTAATATTATGTTGGTTCACCCTTTGCAGCTTTAACAGCTTCAACTCTTTCAAGGTGGCTTTCCACAAAGGTTAGTGATGTTTAGGAGTGTGTGTGGGAGTTTGGGGCCATTCTTCCACAAGCACATTTGTAAAGTGAGACACTGATGTTGGATGAGAAGGCCTGGTTTACAGTCTCCACTCTTATTCACCTGCCTTTATAGACCGTGCTTTGTAGACCGGTAGTCATGTTGGAACCGTTCCCCCAGCAACCAGCAAACCCAGACTCATCTATTGGACTTCTAGACAGAGAAGCGTGATTTAGTAGTGATGAAATTTCACCAGTGGACTGGCACAAGTTTCATCCTATCGCTTTACCATGATCCATTCTTTCACAAATATTTTCACATGCAGTCTGCATGGTGCTTGAGTTTATCCACCTTTGACCATGGAAGTGACTGGAGCACCTGAATTCAATGACTGGGATAGTTGAGTGACTACTTTTATCAATACAGATGTTTTTTGTACAAAATCAACGGAATAATGAACAACTTTTTGTCTATCTTCCCCTTTCTTTAAATCTAAATTAATTTGCATTTTCACTTTTACCCTGTTTCTGTCCACACTGTCCAATTCTTATACTTCCATTAACTCACTGAAAATATAAAAACCCAACATCCATTGAGCTGCACTCAGACAAACTTGACTAGCAAACCGGACACAAAGTTGATATATTGATACAGCATTATGTAAAATAATTTTAGGTGGACTATTCTCTTTGTTTTCGGTCCTGCATCATAGAAGTGGGTGTTGGGTTGATGGTCGGGCCATGCTAATGGGCATTTCGAGTTCCTGAGGGGGTAAAGAGTGGGCCTAGAACTTGTTAAAACATAACCATTCTTTTTTGTTCCCTACATGTTAAAACTAAAATGTGAGATGTGGGTGTGCTGGATTTGGAGTTGTTTAAAAAAGCTGTACTGAGTCATACTTTTAGCAATGTAATTTGCAGATGACACAACTCTGCTGGGGCTCATCTCGGGGGGGGGGGGTGAGTCTTCCTACAGGGATGAAGTAGAGCGACTGACAGCATGGTGCACAGACTACCTGATCGCTCACTGTGGATTTCAGGAACATGGCAGAGCAGGCAAAGAAGACCCAGCAGAGACTCTATTTCCTGAGTGTCATCAGGAAAAATAACATCTCTCAAAAACTGTGGGTGTCCTTCTACCAATACTCTATTGAGAGCATCCTTTACTACTGCTTCTGTGTGTGGTTTTCAGCTCCACAGCAGCACAGAGAAAAACACTCCAGTGAATCATTAAGACTGCCCAGGAAACCATTGACTGTCCTCTACCCTCTCTTGAAGAACTGTACAGGTCCCACTGCCGTAGGAAAGCCAAGAACATTAAAAAATGTACTTGGCTGAACAGGAGTCATAACAGGAGCATTAAAGCAAGTAGCCATCAGGGCATTAGACACCACCTTGCACCATGTGTAAAAGACGTGCAATATTGGCACACATGTGATGGTGTTCCCATGCAATTGTGTTACCGCCTCCGTAAGGAAGGCACCTAATCTCCCTATATTTCATGTATTTATAATGACAATAAAGATATAGAATGTAACAGCATTCAATGACAAATATATTTTGTTCTTAAGTATATTCTCAAACAATAGGGGGGTTAACCTGTAAATTCTGTTTATGATGAATGTTCTCTGCTTGACTTTGACTCTTCACATGATTATATTATCATCATCTGTGCTTTTCTTTAGTAATCTTACTTGCAGTTACTGTTTGTATAAAACTAATAGTTTTCTTACTGCTGTCTTCCTTGTTTTCCTGTCAGTTTATCTTCATCGTCTCCTGTGTTTTACTTGGCTGCATCGTTATCCTAACTGGCTTCACCTGTGCTTCATTCCTCAGCTGTGTCTAATGCCCTTGTCCTTTGTCAGAGCATCTATTTCCCTCTTGGTGTTTTCCTATTTTGGATTCTTTTTTTTTCTTTGCTTGTGGACCTTTGGACTCTGTGGATTTTTTTATCAGCTGTAATAAAACGCTTCTAGTTCATCTACCTGTCTCAGAATCCTGCATTTTGCACTTACGCCCTAATCCAACAAAGTTTATAAAAACCTCCCTGGTTACTTTCACTTTCAAAATACTAAATGTCAACGGTAAAAATGCTCAACTCAAGGCTTCATAGCAGACGTTCAGAAAGAGAGAGAGAAAAGTCACACTGCAACAATCGTCCTCTTAGATTTAGTTCCAGCCAGCATATTTGTTGCCCTTTTCAAGTGCATATGATCAATGACTGGATTAAAGTGTCTGCCACATACTGCATGTGGCATCATGTCATTAGCGGGGTGTGAAATTCCACACAGTGAGAAATGCGAGATAGAAGCTGCAGGGTCTCTCATACGAGACGCCCTCTCCCACCCTTCCACACCATCAGATGCAGAGTACACACCATCACATCGCTAATCAATGTACGTGCACCATCAGTTACTGGTATGCACAAACCGAAACAATCCAAGCACACAAGAGGTGGTTTGCTCTGAGTAAAACATGGTTAAAATAGGTGTTTAAATTCCACGTTGCTGTATCTGCTGATGGAAATGTAGGAAAAAGGCACATGCTGCCTTCAGGGTTCAGGCCTGCTTCATGTTATGAATATAACATGAAGTTCAAAGCAACTGGGTTGTTGAACAAGAGGTTTCCAGGTTCAAACCAATGACTGTAGAAAACTACTACTTTTCTGCAGTCATTGGTTCAAACCAGCTGGCTTGTTGGGGCTTTTCTGTGTAGTCTCCATGTTTTCCTTGAACATGCCTGTGATATCTCCTCACACAGTCCAAACGTGCTTTTTGGGTTAACTGGTGATTCTAAATTATTCATGGGATTTAGTGTGAATTGTTGTCTGTCTCTCTGTGATAGGCCTGCAATAGATTGACAAGCGGTCCAGAGTATACGCTGCCTCTCACCCTATGACACTAGAGACAGACTTCAGAGAGAATGAAACTAGTTATCAATTCAATAAGTTAACGCAGGATATTTCCTGTACGTTCACATGACACGTGAGACTTTGCTATTAGAAAAATCTGAAGTGATTAAACACAAAATAGAGATGAAAAACAACACAGCTGCTGCAAGCAAATCAGTGGCATGAGTGTGTGTGAGAGGAAAAACATTGTACAGGAGTCTAGCATTAAAATACTCACTCATAAGTTACCATGGCAATATGCTCCGTAACAAGTGAACTATCTTCATAGTACAGGAAACTCAGGCTTAACCCTGAAATTACCAGGGTAAGATGAAATCTTGCTTCATAGTACAGGGACAGTACTGTTAGTTGGTGAGCCTATAGTCTTGCAGTCTTTGACAGCAGTAAACTAATCTTTTACTGCATTACCTTTTACATGTGCACGTGTGTTTACATGTGTTTTTGTATGTGCACAATCTTTCTTTGCACTTACCACTCCTGCTGCGCAGCATCCTGGCTGAGACGCCGTTGACTCTCCCTGCACTGGGCGGACTGGCCGTGGCATTTTCCACCGAGCTCACCTCATTCCCCTGCTGTTTCAGCAGGTCTGTCAGCGTCCTGGAGACCAAGACACACACACACACACACACACACACACACACACACACACACACACACACACACACACACACACACAGGTTAAAAACGGTGCTCAACTTATTTTATTTGATAAACCAAGTTAGAGTACAATAGATATTAAATGTATGTGACTTCTTTTTGTGATATTTTATTAATGAAATGCTTATTTTTCTTTTAAATTTGACTCCTCGTCCAGTCAATTACCCTGATGAAATCATAACAGAATTCTCAATAAAATATATTGATTACAAAAATTGGGGACTTGTGTTTCATTATGATTTTTTTTTTTTGTTTGTTTTTTCCACAGGAAACAAAGACAAGCAATACTGTAAGAAAATTTAAGTACTGCGTAAGTAATTTAAAGGAAAGTTTAAGTAATTGTGGGTCATGCATAAATAAATGTGTGTATTGCACAACTTCATGTATTTTACCGAAAAGAATAATGATATTGTAAGTGGTGCTTAAATTATGGAAATTATACAGCAAAGGAGACACAAATTATACTATGAGTAATTGTAAGCATTGTGTAATTTCATGGTAATATTTAATGTGCGAAGTGAGTGGAAAAATATTTTGAAATATAATATAATAATGTTTTTCTGCTAAATGACCATGCAATGGTACACCACCTTAAAATTACATATGCAGTATTTATAGGTAAATATAATTTCATGGTAATTTAATTTAAAATACACTGAAATTCCATTTAATTACAGAGGAATTACACACTTGGTTGTGGGCTGTATTATGACCAACAAACAATTTGAACCAAGCCACAAACATAGTGTTAAGTACATGTGTGCACAAATGACCATGGAAAAAACATTTTTACCACTTTGTGTCAGGTCTCTCTGCATGTACATTATAAAGCAAAAGATTTGTGTCAGATTGGAAGACATTAGATGCCGCTGCCTGTATTCTGACAAAGTTAACTGTTTGCATCTTGTTACATTTACTGTAGGAAATATGCTTATATAATTGAGCCTGAGCAACATATTTTTATTTTCAGGCTAAATCTCAGCCAGCTGTATTGACTGGCGGCCTTTTTGCTGCTTGTCGTGTTTGCAATATGTTCACATTGAGACTTGGCTCTAGAAGAGTTTGAGTGCAAGAAATACTTCCAAACAAGTGTGAGTGCAAGTGTTCATGTGCACACACACACACACACACACGCACACACACACACACACACGCACACACACACACACACACACACATTTTCATATCTTAGTGAGGACATCTAATTGACATAAAGGCCTTCAAACTCGTGGGGACAGGCATTTTGTCCCTATGAGTGACTGTTTGTCTCCAAAAGTAAAGTGTCGTGCCAATTTTCTGTCCTCAGAAAGATGTCTAAACATGTACACTTTACACATACACACACACTTTACACACAGATGTATGTTTATGCACAGTTTGGGGGACTTACCCTTCATCCAACACATATCTGCTGCCTGTGTATTTCCCCCAAAAAACACTATTGACTCAAAACACTTGTAGTTAAGCTTTACAAAAGGAAGTCCACAGCACCACTCATACACACACATACACACAAATGCACAGGTATACAAGACACTGTCACGGCGAGTGAGAAGAGCCGTGTGGAAAAGGAAAAGGAGGATCCAAACGCAGGCAGTCGTGAAGGCGTGAAGGTGATTTATTGAACACAAAAAATAGAGAGGCAAACGGCAAAACGGAGAACTAAACTATACTGGGACAACTAAACTACTGAGCACGAACAAGAACGAAGGTACATGATGATGGCGGCAGGGAACACACGGATGAAACTGGGTCAAACTGACCCAGAACCGTGACAGACACAGTGCTGCGAGGCTGCCGGACACTGGCGCCACCGGGCCCTCTGACCACCACCAGGCAACGGGTGAAGCGTCTTGCCCAAGGACACAACGACCAAGACTGTCCAAGCTGGGGCTTGAACTGGCAACCTTCTGATTACAAGGCGAACTCCCAACTCTTGAGCCACGATCGCCCAAATAGTGCATGTTTGCTTGTCTTTGTGACCCACATTTGACTCCCAGCACTCGAAATGGTGCTGAATGATAAAGCCACTACAAAATATATATGGATGAAACACGTGGACAATGATTTAACAATAATTTCACTGAATGACTGGAACTACAGTACTGTGCAAAAGTCTTGAGTCACCCCTTATTTCTTTATAATTGGCTTCCAAGAAGCCAGACCTTCCTGTTGTTTTGAAAGAGGTCTTAAGCAATAGTTCTCCAGGCTTCCTGAAATGCTTTTCCAATTTCATTTTCAGTCCAGACCTGTACACGACCATTTTCAGATGGACTTTTTTCTCTTTGTTTGCATTTTTCATCCCTTTTTTAAAAGAATTTTGTATCAGCAAGTGGATTCTCAGAGCTGAAAACTTGGGATGTGCAGTGTGTCTTAAATAGTTTGAGAACATTGGACAATGAGGACAAAACAAATGGCAGGCCTTAAAAAAACTGTCACCTGAGAGCTACAACAATGAGCATCTACAGCCATCTGTAAAACATGGTGGAGGCTGTGTCATGGTTTGGGGCTGAATTTCAGCCAGTGGTGATGAGGATCCTGTCAAAGCTGATGTTGATCCACCTTCCACAACTACCCAAAAGCATATGATTGGTTTCATTTTAGCATGATAATGATTCCAGACAGTATATGGAATATACCAGTGTTGTGTCTACTTAGCAAAGAACCAATTTTAGATTATATTTTGGCTGTGTTGAAGAATAAAGGTGATCATACCACGCTGTAAAACGCTCGACCTATTTCCTTCAGTTCTTCATAGTGAAATATAAAGATATGAGGGGTGATCCATGGCTTTTGCACAGTACTGTAAATGCTTGCACTGGAATCCAGACACGACTCATCTTCAGTTCTTCATGCTGAGTCTAATTCACTTATATAAAAGTAAGCCAATGGTTAAGACTAAACACACTAGTTCCAACATTAATAAGACCCTTTCTCATTAATGAGTCTTCCATTCTTGGTTTCTCACTCTGAACTCATTCAACATTTCTCAACATTTGACACACGAGGAAAAAAACCCAAACGTCTTGAATCATTTTCTCTCATCTTCTTTCATTTCTATAGTCTGTTTTTCTTTGAGTCTCGTTCTTTCTCTCTCACCCCCCTCCTTTCCTAAACTCAGTTCTAAATCTGACTCTTTGTCTTTTCCCTCCACTTCAAACCATACTGTTTGTCTTCCTCCCTCACCCTCTCTCTGCTCCTCATCCCTTCTGTGACTCACCACCACACAGTGCCTCGGGCCTCTGCGCACGCTTCTCTTGGCTCGCTGCTCAAACAACTTGCTGATTTGGACTTTTAATCTGCAACAAAAACTGCACCTGTCTTCAGGCTGTGTGGTGTTTATGGAGCGTTGGCTGAGCTTCATGAGAGTTTCTGTGGGTGCCTTTAAATAATGAAGACGTCTTTGTCGCTGGTTAAGAGGTTAATACTGGAGTGTGGGCTAGATTGACAAGAAAAGTCTGTAGTATCTGCAAAAACAACCCAGATGTGAACATTAAGAGGAACACATTCATTAATGAACCAGAATCAGTTGAAGTCCAGCTAGTGACTACTCTTGGACTTCATGTTTGTTTATTGGTTTACAACGGGAGTGTCAAATTCATTTTACATCCCGGGCCACATACAGCCCACTGAAACCAGGCCAGACCAGTGAAACTCCCCTTTCTACCAGTGTAAAGAAGTTACATATTTAGCTGTTTTTCTACACGATAAAGAAAAAGCTCCTGTGACAAAGACATAAATCTGTCAGCACGACTCTTTCGACTTAAATCTTAAGAAATAAATGTGTAAAATTATAATTACAAAAACAGTTACAGAGGTTCTATTAGGGACGTAGCTAAGCATTTTGGAATTTTGGCATAATTTGTGAAAGTTGAAATTTCTTTGGTATTGAATAGCAGAAACTACGCTTTCTTGTCAGAGGTAATTTTTTTTGGCGGGGAGAACCAGCGGCTGACAACACTGTAAACAACGGTAGATTGTTGCGTCATAAGCAAGCGAATAACCCAAAAATAAAGATTTTTGATGGAAAACTGGTCTCAAAGCTCACTGATGAGAGAACTGTGCAGGAAGTGGGATTTGAATGGAATTCATTACAATTTTATTCAAACATGATGCGTAGTTTTGTCTTCTTTTGCTTTTGGTTCAGTGAATTTTGGTCGGAGAGTGACGAAACCTGCAGTTTCGGAATCCATGAGATGTCTACACAGCAAATCCAGCATGTCCAAATTAACACTGTCGGATTTGATTTCAACACTATTAAAGTGTCTATATGGGTCCACACCAGAGAGTGTTAATTTAACTCTTTTTGGAGAGTTGGTACGTTAACTCTGATTTAGTGTTAAACACCAAATCTGTCTGGAGTTGATAATTTAACACTTGGTGTTAAGAGTTTATATATTAACTCTCAAAGAGTATTTTAGTTTAACTACGTAAGAGTTATCTTCTAATTCATTCTAAAAAGCAGGAATTTTACTGTTCTGAACTTCTAGAAATTTCTTTTGGAAATAAACATTTACTAAAAAGATGCAATGGTTTTTGAAAAACATTTATTCTGAACTGTGCACCACAATTTCAAAACATTTTCTGAAAGATGTAACAGTATACATGTTCTCACTTTCATTAGAATTTTGTTTATCAAAAGGTCTGACATGGTAAATGCAAATAACAGCATTCTCATCACTTATTTCTTCAATACAATATGCATGTCCTTCATTCATCCCTTTGTGGAACTTCAACGCACTTCTGCTCTCCCCCATATTCCATCTTCACAAGCATATCCTGTGTGGAGATTGAATAAAAATTAGTTGAGACTAATTAATGGCACAAATAATCCAGTAAACAATTGCAGCACAGTAAAAAAAAAAGGAATCCTCTTTGAGCCATTACTTGTGTAAAGTATTTTCCCAAAAGACAAGGACACAGGCAACAGGTAATACTGA